TGCCCTCTATTACGCGCCTCACTTCGTTCGGAGCGTAATATCGGGCGTGTCAAGAAAAGTCATGCTTCTCCGCCTCATAAAGTAATATACTATTTTCGCGTTATTTTTTAACTATACAGAGAAAATCAGCTGTTTATTACTAAATTTTTTGAAGTCGTTTTTTTGGCATGTTTAATTTGGTGGACTCCCTTATGGAACCAAAATTTTTGTCGGACAAGATTTTTTTCGAATATTTCATGAAGTCGACTTTTGTATCCATTAAACAGCAATACGTTATAAATCAATTTGATACATCACTTCAAAATGACCACTTTTTAAAGCTGGAGAGCAGGATAAGCTGGAGAAAAAGAGCACCCGGTACAGAAAGTATCCCAAGAGATATTTGGGGGTCGAGGTCTTATGAAACTATCCTGAAAATTGTAGCCTGTTATGTATGAGTGATACAGTATGTCGCCTGGCACCTAACCTACTAACTGTATGAACAATAAATTTATTAGCTTCATTCAGGGAAATGTGTGTTTCATTTGCATATTAATCTGGGTAGCATTTTACTCATAAAATTTAAGATTATTGTAGGATTCTGCTAGCAAAATATAATATAATCAATTTAGGTAATTCGGACACTTTTGGTAATCCGACACTCCTTTGGTCCCATACCTGTCAGATTATCAAGGGACAACTGTAGATTGTAAATATACTAAGTGACATAGAAATCCGAACACCCAGTTTAAATAATTTTATTTTAATAAAATTTTGTATAAGTACTTAATGAAGCACAATAAGTAAATAATTAAAATTTCAAAATGATTTGTTTCGTTTAAAATATTGTAACAATACTTTAAACTTGGTTCTCATTTACGTAGCGGCAACCTTTGTGGTCGTCTACAATCCCCCTCTCAAGTTACAGCAAAATAGAGATCAAAATCGCTTATCGCTTGACTTTTGTAACTCGTCGTATTTTTATATTCACGTGTCTCCTTGACGGTGTTTTGAGGTTATGAGAAGAAGTCCAGGCACTGTATTTTTTCAATTTGACATAATTTTGTGCAACAAAAATTGGTGAGTACAGAATAAATATCTAATATACAAGATCGCACAATAAAATCAAATATATTATTTTGGTGTCTTGAGCAAATTACGTGAAAATAACCGTACACATTTGTGTACGTGGTGCAAAAATGTCAAAGTAATTTTGTTTTTATTTTCATTTTAGAATAAGGCAGCATGTTTAGAGAGATACTTACATCATCATTTTATAACAGAAAAGCAGAGAAAGTAACCATTCTAAGTTCTGTGCAAAATCCAAACAATTCAGATTTGGAGGAAATTGAAATTGAGAATGATGACCAATCAGAAGAAGAATTGGATTCCTTATTGGAATTGCCAAATAACAGAGGTACCATGGAAGAACTTTCTAAATCAAATGGTAGCTCTGATACTGATAGTGACTATGATGACATTCCTCTGGCTTTGAGATGCAGACAACAAAAATACAGTAAGAAGAGGGCAACAGGTTCAGCATTGTCATCTGAGCCTCCTGTACCAATACAGAGTTCCGAAATCTGGTATTCAGAAAAGGATAATGCCTTTAGAAACAATCCACCAATTTTTCGAGGTAACTATCAAGTCAATATAAATGGCGATACGCCATATTCCTTCTTTGTGAAACTATTTCCTGATGAAATTTTCGAGCTAATTACTACAGAAACAATTCGTTATGCGCTTCAATCTGGAAAACATTCATTTTCGGTTAGCATTGCTGAAATGAAATAATTTTTTGCTATCAACATCATGATGACATACATAAAATACCCTGCCTATCGGATGTATTGGTCATCCGTTCCAGGTCTGAGTTTTTATCAAATTGCGAACACTATGTCCCTAAAAAGATATGAAGAAATAAAAAGATATTTACACTTCAACAATAACCATGAAATTTCTGAAAATAATGATGACGCATTTATAAAAGTACGACCTTTTCTTGATTTACTGAGTAGAACATTTGCTGATGCTGCAACACCAACTGAGTATATAACTATTGATGAAATGATAATTCCATTCAAAGGAAGAAGTAGAAATAAGCAGTATATTAAATCTAAACCCAAGAAATGGGGACTTAGAGTATGGGTACGAGCGTCAGCAAATGGCTATGTATCAAAATTTGAGATGTAGCAGTCCTTAAAAAATCAAAATAAATCAGAATTGGGTATCATTGGTGATACAGTTGTGAGGCTGTGTTCAGGATTAGAAGGTTTTAATCACAAAATATTTTTGGATAATCTATTCACTTCTATACCATTAGTCATCTACCTAAAAGATGCAGATATACATGTAGTAGGAACTGTCAGGGCTAACAAAATACACAAAGCTAGCGAAAAACTGACGGATGGTAAGATTCTTAAGAAAAAAGGTAGAGGTTCATGTTCCGTGGCAACATCTGAAAACAACATTACAGTGCTACGATGGGCAGACAATAACCTTGTTCATATGATTTCATCTTTCACTGGTAAGGATCCTCAAGATACTGTAAGATGATAAGATAGGAAAACAAAGACTTACATTGAGGTTCAAAGGCCACAGGCTATTATTCAGTACAATCGGTTCATGGGTGGCGTAGATTTATCAGATAGAATGATTGCTCATTATCCACATGCCATCAAAAACAAGAAGTTCTATCTGAGAATTGTTTTTCATTTCATGAATGTTGCAATTATAAATGCTTGGTTGTTGTTCAGAGAAGCCAAATCATAAAAAATATCTTTACTAGAATTTAAAGCATCTATTGCTTTAACTTTAATTGAGTTAAATGGAAATGCAAGAAAACGAGGAAGACCCTCATCCTAAAATTCTGCTCAAAAAAAAGACGTGGACAAAAGTTGCACCTGAAGTTCGCTTGAATAGATTGGGACATTATTCAATGAAAATGGACTACAAAAATATATATAATATAAAGATATCATGACAGAAATTGCAAACGCAGAACAAGATATAGATGCAAGCAGTGTCAGGAGAGTGTCTGCCCAGAGTGCATGGAATCGTTTCATCAATAGATCATCCGCCCATTGGCAACATATGTGTACGTTTTCGTTTTTGACTTTTACAATGTCAAATTTGGCAATATTTTTTTTTGCAATTTTTCATGTATCCGGATGTTAATAATTAAAATATAGAAAAATATTGGACTTTTTATTATTCAAAGAATTAATTCGTCCCTGAAGAGGTTAATAATGTGTGGATGCACCCCGATGTGTTACGCATTCTTCAACGCGCCTAGGCATACTTCTGATCAGGTGATCAATGTACTCTTGTGGTATCTCATTCCAGAAAACCACCAACTCCTCTCGAAGTGCTTGTATAGTCTGAGGAGGACGTTGCAAATTGAGCAATCTCCTACCCATTATATCACACACGTGCTTAATTGGGGATAAGTCGGGAGATCTTGGTGGCCATGCTAACAGTGTGACATCATTATGTTGAAAGAAGCCTATTGTGACTCTTGCAACATGTGGTAGGGCATTATCATGTTGGAAAGTTGGATTTGCCAGGGTGTCACGATAGGGTATGACCTGAAACCATAAGCTATAGCACCCCAACCCATAACTCCAACATTGTGATAAACATGTCTTTCAACAAAAAAATGTTGATTCCTCATTTCACCATGTCGCCTCTCGCTCGACCATCGTGCATGCCTAAACAAAATCGAGACTCATCACTAACGACAATACTGTTCCATTTCTGATTCAAGAGTTACCGTTTTCTGCACCACTAAAGGCGATTACGGCGGTGTTCTGGAGTTAAAGGGAGGACCCAGTATGGTCGGTATGAAAACAGGCCAAAACTTCTCATTCGTCGGTAAACGCTTCGCATGTCAATAGGTCCTCCATGTTCTGCAAACCATTCATTTGCAATGAAGCTGGTAGTGGAGAAACGGTCTCTTAAGGCCAATACTTAGGCGGCGACTTTCACGGTCTGTTGTTCTACGGCAGCGTCCAGTGTCCCTTGCACTTTGCGTACGGCCTTCTTGAAGCCATGCCTGACAACACCTGACCACGGTGTCTACACTTCTTTGCACTCTAACTGCAACTTCCCGAAAAGAAAGTCCAGCTTCCCGAAGTCCCATTATACGGCCCCTATCAAACTCACTAAGTTGACGAAATCGTAAAGGTCTCCGTACTCTAGGCATCATAACCAATCGTAAAAAATGTCAAGAATCACAATCCGCCAAATTTGTTAATGAATTTAAAAACAGTATAAAAATTTAAAAAGTATAAAAACCGGAATCTATAACTGATAATGCTAAAAACTTTATCACTTGTTTTTTTCAGTAATATGAATAAATTACACCAAATTTTATGAAATAAAATCATTTAAACTGGGTGTTTGGATTTCTATGTCACTTAGTATATGTATTTATAAATTAAAAATACAGCATTTGTCTCCATATTACTTTATTTTCGTAGACTCTTCTAAATATTGTTATCATCTGTCTTCAGCCATTTGTTTCTGGCTTAATTTTTTCTCTAAATATTTCTTCCCAGTCTTCATAATACCTCTCTTCTTCTTTCTTTTAATTCTTTATATTCTATCTTGTTTTGTCTATATTGTCAGGTTTTGGACTTAAAATCCGTTTCATTAAATATTAGTATATTTCATCACATATGAAATATCTAGTTTAAAATATCAAAATCTCCTTAAAATGTAATATATTGTGCATACAATTTTACATTTTAGGCCATTGTCAATTATAAAAAATTAAAAGGTTGTTTAGTCCCACTCCATATTTTTGCAAAATAATTTTTGTTATCTACTAGCCTAACGGTTCTCTATTAGTACCAGACAGTATATATTATGCATCGATAGACGAGCGCCGACAAAAATTGCCAACTTATCATAGTCTTGCAAAATCATAAGTGCGCGTTTAAAAGCAGTGGTAGTACCGATTAGTAGTACCCCGTAATAACCAGAGTGGGAAGTACCACTGCTCGAATATCGCACTATACATTCATTCATAATATGTACACGAGAATCGATTCGACGGTATGCTTTTACCATGATATTGCCTAGTCGCTAAATTAATGCATTTTTTTTTCGACCAATAAATCCGAAAATTTAAAATGAAGGTACTTTTTGGAACGGTGTTCACACTGTGCTTTCTATTAACGAACAATTTAGAAAACGATGTTGACCGTTTTCCGGACATATTTTTAAATTTTTCTAATGTAACTGTGGCGCGGAAAAATGTGCAAAAAAATATTGAATATACTGTTACTAATGTAAGTGTGGGACAGACAAATGAGGAAAAGGGGAGACTTTGCGTGAAAAATTTGACCAAATGCATGGAAAAAGGTTAGTGGATTTTAAGTTTTTTTTTGGGATAAAATAATTTCAGTTATTTAGTAATACTATTTTGCCATTTCAGTTCATAAAATGCATGGTAAAATAATATTTTTTTATCTTCAATTTTCATTTAGTAATTTAGTATAATAGTAGATATTTCATTTTTTATTTTTTTATTTAATACAAATTTTTATTCATTGTGTTATGAAATGTACACGTATATATATTATTGTAATTTCCTGACTGAATTTTTAAATAAAAACATTTTTTAATTCCTGGGTTTGCGGTCTGTTATAATATATAAGTAAGTCTGCAAATTTTTGCATATTATATATTGCAATTTTTGCAATATATAAGTAAGTGATCGGTAGAAGAATCTACCGATCCTTCCTTTTTTAAGATTTCTTCTTTGATTTTCCTCTTTTCTGCTATCAGTTGTAGAGTTTCTTTAGTTATAAATTTTGATTTTCTCTTCATTTTTTTTTTTATTATTTATTTTGCTGCATTTGTCATTACTTATTTAACCCTTTAAGTTACAAGTTTATTATGATAAACTTTTTTCAGATAATAGTTTGAAATACTATAGCCAATACATAAATTACTGGATTTTGAATATATTTTTCTTTTTTTTTTTTTTAAGAAAAAAATGCTGGTCAACCCTTCTACCAGGGTTCGATCAAGGAATAATTTTCATGATAGTTTTTCTGGTACATAGGGTATACCAAATTATAATAAGCGTATCAATAGTATAAGTATAGCACTTTAAATAATACAAAAGTACTGCAAAATATTGTAATAAACAAACAAAAATATAATAATAAAAATAAGAGTTCAGGCACTTGAATAATATGGTTTAAAACAATCCAAACACAAAGTCACTTTACGGTTTCCATCCATCCAATGGTACTACAGCCCAAATCGGGCATTGGTCTCCTTCAACAAGCTTCTTAAATAATTTCGATTTACAGCTGTTCTTTTCCATGAACGCGTTCCCAGGTAGTTCCTGGCATCCTCATCGACTTCGTCTTGCCATCTCTTTTTAGGTCTTCCAAGAGGTCTTTTTCCCTGCATTCTTGCATTTAGTAATTTTCTGGGAATTCTATTCTCATGCATGCGGACCACGTGCCCTGCCCACCGTAATCTCTGCAGTTTAGTGTATTGTGCTAGAGTTGGTTCGCTATATTGCTCGTATATTTCTCTATTATACCTAATTCGCCAGTTGCTGTTATTACTTACTGAGCCCACTATCCTACGTAATATTTTTCTTTCAAATGCATCTAGTGCATTGGCAGATTTCTATGTTACCACCCATGTTTCACGGCTATAACTTACTGTGGGCCTGATTATTGTTTTATAGACCCTGAATTTTGTTTTTCGGTGTACGTCTCGTGATGTGAATATGTAACTCATCGCGAAATAGGCTTTATTTGCCCGAACAAGCCTTCTATTTATCTCCGGTTCTTCTTCATTGCTTGTGGCCAGATTCATTCCTAGGTATGTGAATCTATTCACATGTTCTATATTGTCAATAAAGTGTTGTTGCGCCGGTCTATTTGATCTGGTTTGTATGAGTAGTTTTGTTTTTTTTTTTGTATTTATTGCTAGCTCTACTGCTTCTGCACTCTGTTTAAACTCAGCGTAGGTTTCTTCCTCTGAATTCACTGTTCTGCTCAATATATTTATATTATCTGCATATACTACCAATTGAGGAGATTCGTTTGTAAGTATGTTATTTTCGCTCACCCTCAACCGTCTGTCCTCAACTTCGCTCATTATATATTCAATAACAAGATTAAAGAGCATTGGAGCCAGTCCGTCGCCTTGTCTCAGTCCTTGCGTTATCATGATCTGTCCTTGAATAAATACCTGTGCTTCTGTCTCTGCCATTGTCATTTGCACTAGTCTTATTAATTTTGATGGTATGCCAAATGTTTCAAATATATTAGGTAGAATTGTTCTATCTATTGAATCATAGGCTTGTTTAAAATCTACAAAGGGATTGTAAAGGTCCATGTCATATTCCCATGCTTTGGCTAATATTTGTTTAACTGTAAATAGTTGGTCAATAGTAGATCTATTTTGCCTAAACCTTGCTTGATATTCCCTGATGGTTTTTTTTAGCACATCTCTTGTATTAGCTGGTACATCGGTTGACTCAAATTCCTTCCTCCTTACTTGAGTCGTTCTGTCGGTATGTAATATATTCCCGGTGCCTTATAGCTTTTTTGTATGTGGATTACCGTTTGGACCTCCTCTAGCATTGGGGGTCTAGTTGATTCATTTTATTCTTCATCTTCCTCCAGATTTTGTTGTTATACCTCCTACCGTGCCTGCTGCTGCCCCTGTTGTTGTAATGGTGGTTGTGTCCCTTGGTTTAATAATTCCTTAAAATATGTCATCCAGGTTATCTTAATTTCGTCCATATCGCTAACGATTTTACCCTTCTTATTTTTGCAGAGGCTAGTCTTCGGTTTGTATCCCTGTCTTAAATGTTTTGGTCTTAAATTTGTTGCTTTTCGTACTGTCTCTTTTTCCACCTGCACAGTTTATCTGCTCTTCGTCTTTTGTTCTTAAATTGTGTTTTTCTCTCTCTAGTACATCTGAGTATGTAATTCTTATGTGCTTCACTTCTTTCCTGTGTAGCTTGTTTGCATTCTTTATCAAACCATGTTTCTTCTCTCCATTGTGTCTTTGTTCCTTTACAGTTTACGAACTATATATCATTACGTTTCTCTAATCCCGTTTTTGAGCACTACTGGCATCGTCTTCGCGTGGTTTTCTGTGGAAAATGACCAGCATTTTGAAAACACTCCATGTTCAATGGCTTCAATTTTTTTTTCTCACAAAAAAAAGTTTTATAAGATTGGTAGCCAATTTGGATGTATATTCAAGGTGAGATATTATTTTTTTTCCACTGTTACTTTGCTCAGGGGATTCTTTATAAAGTATGTAAGAATTTACTATGGATGCGTAAATGGATGCGTAAAAAGGTAATTAAATAATTTTATCCACTATCGACGACTTTTCCAAGCTACTAAGTATGTCTGCATTCGTTGGCCAAACCGATCAACACCGCCCGTACACATATTGTAGTCTACAATGGCTTGAGGACAGTTGATGTTTTCTCGTTCTCCAGTTTTTGATGTTCTCAAAACAAAACCAGTGTCTGCGTGATTATGCATATTGCTGAATATGCTCACAGATTTTGAGCCACGATCCGCCCACATACTTATAGTAATATTATTGAAGACAACTTCATCAATTTCCAGAAAAGAAATCCATACAAAATTGACATTTATGTTCATGGTTTAATGCTGGTTTAATAAGTCATAGACTAGGATGACTACGATATATATGACTAATTCGTAATAATGAAAGGCTTTTTGCCTTTGCTACCGCAAAATTTATTGCGCTGAGGATAGCGGTTAACTCGACTGTGTAAATGCACGTTAATTTGAAGAGTTTAATTAATTAATATTTTTATTTTATTAACCGTAAATGCTACTCCTTTATAGTTATATTAAACATAAATGCTATTTCTTTAAAGTTTTAGAGGCATCGGTGTAGAGGGTGGTCCTTAAGTAATTGTACAAAAAGAAACCATACATTATACACTTTAAAATATTACGATTTAAGTCAAGTTGCTTTAATAAAATGTTAATTAAGAAAGATACAGGGTGTTAAAGTGGAAATTTAAAATTTTATTTTTCGCTATAAGTTTTATGTTTGTCAACATTTATGTATAAAAATTTACAACTGGGTACTATTAAATATCAGAAATTATAATTTGATGTACACTTTGATGTAGCTGATAGAGGGTGCCACATATGCCACATATGTGGCATACCTTTGCACGTAACTTTTTTGTTCTTTAAGTTACCGGTATTTTAAATTAAAAATATTAAAGACACATTATTTTAACAAAAAAAATGTATACTTGTTAATACCTTCAAAACTCAACAGTTTTCGAGATAATCGCAATTTAGAAATCAACTACATAATTCTGATTTATCGCAATTACTCCAGGTAACGAAAGAAAATTAAAGAAAAACATCAATATTTCTGAATTTTGGTATAAAATACCTTTAATAAAGTTAATATTTAATGAATTATTAAATAAAATAAATATATCAGCAGAATAAAATAATAGGATTTGATAAACAACAGAATAATTGAATTTTACATCAAACATTTTACGTTATGTATTAAAGTCATAATCAAAACATTTTATTTACAAACCAAATTAAGAAATAGTTAAAGTAAATAAAATTAATCTTTTTGTCAAAGTAAGTGTTCACTATGTCCATCATTTTCTTTAATTCATTTGTCAATACCTTCCATAAAATATCGTCTCATATTAAATAGCGTCATTGGTTCTGAAGAAACTGCTGCAGTATTTATTATAAGTGTTATAAGTACAATAATAAACTATTTTTTGAAATGTTTATGAATTAAATAATTATATTAATATCTCACCTCAAGAATATGACTACCATGAACAATCCAACGTTCAGGAAAGTTATATTTAAATACTGTCTCACTCCGCTTTCTCTGTAATGTAATGGTTTACCATCTTGTAGAAACCACATATTTCGCCTTAAATTTGATGACAATTCTTTCAATATATCAATAAAATCAATTTATAAAAAATGTAAATAAATCTCATTATTCAAATTGCAAGATAATTCGCATATCCGTAAAAAATAATTATCAATGGTTCCAAACCATAGGATATGCATTTTAAATATCAATTTTGAATGATGTTTTACGGATATGCGAATTACCTTTCAATTTGAATGGTGAGATTTATTTACATTCTTTACAAAATGATTTTATTATTTTATTGATTTATTAGAAGAATTGTCATCAAACTTAAGGCGAAATATGTGGTTTCTACAAGATGGTACACCATTACATTACAGAGAAAGCGGAGTGAGACAGTATTTACATACTTCTTTAAACTTTCCTGAACGTTGGATTGTTCATGGTAGTCATATTCTTGTGGTGAG